TTCCAGTATGAGGTCAGTACTCACTCACACACGCACGCACATGCAATACTTTTAAGACGCACACGCACGTATATACACCTTTTGATTATGATGCGCACATAAACATATGCATAGTTTTTACAATATACACGCACACACACTAAGACAAACAATGCATCAAGGAAATAAACAAACAGACAATACTTAAGGTACATAAACACATACAGACAAAGAAACACAATGCTTCGACACATACACACAAACGCACAAACACACCCATACACGAGACATTTATGCTCTATAATTCATTTCTCAGGGATTGTGACCTTAGATAGGAATATCTAATCTTTAATAAATAGAGAGATAAAGACACGAAAAAATTGCAACGGAATTTAGTTTTCCAAATGAAACATGATGATTCCCGGTAATTCATTTTAAAAGTTACATGAACTCGGGTCTTTCTCATGTAATTAGACAAGAGGGTAATAACAGGGACAAGCACATACAGTCATTGCAACTCTCTGTCTTTCTCTCTCTCTCTCTCTCTCTCTCTCTCTCTCTCTCTCTCTCTCTCTCTCTCTCTCTCTCTCTCTCTCTCTCTCTCTCTCTCTCTCTCTCTCTCTCTCTCACACACACACACAATAGAGAGAAAGAAACACTCATTCATTATTTTAATATCATTTTATTTTAATCTTCGAATTTCATCACCAACATCATTTTAGAATATGCCGTTAGTACCAAATGCAAAAGAATTAGGCGATGGCGCAGCGATTAATAAAGCGAATTATTATCTTTTCTATGCCTTTGATAATTATTTTCTATGCCTCTGTCTTACCTTGTCCTCCGCCATCACGTAAGCAATGTAGGCTAAATATGCCTGCAGTACAAACTTGAGAATTATATAATGTCCGGCTGAAAATGTCATCAGTCTAAATCAAGTCTTTTATTTTATTATTATTATTACTGTGATGCCAAATTATAGTGCCAGGATTTTTTTGTCATGAAATTTGTAAAAAATAAATATAGTCTATTTTCAATACACAAGAAAAAAAATTGCTATTAGTTTTATGGGAAAATTATAAAGCAAAAACTATTTTTTTTGAGGGTACTATAACCACGAAAAAAGAAAAATAAACACATCCTCAAAAGCACAAAACCAACATTAAAATAAAAAGTAGACTAAACAATGAGACACCAAAAATAAAAGAAAATAAAAATACAAAAAACAGAAAGAAAAAAACCCAAACACTTCAAGGCCACCACAGACAATTTGGTGGGGCCTGCGTGTTGTACAGTACTAAGGAGGCTAATAGACAGCGCTTTTGTTTCGCGTGATGCAATTTGACGTCTGTTTCCCCGGGTCTTTTAATCCACCATAGCTATGTGGTGTATAAGAGGGGCTGCATAATGAAGTGTCAAGTGCGAAGTGAGGGAGAATATATCAGGTGATCAAGCCCTAATTTGGGGCAGCAGGAAGAGGGGACTAAAGCATATCGTATAATGAACTCCATACACGTCGCTGCTTTCAGTGTATGGGAATGAATTAGTCTACTGCATTATGAACAAAGTGCAGACTTTGCTACGTTTTTTATTGTTATTACTATTATCGTTTTGTTTCGGATGTTTTTTTTTCTCAGTCCCATTTGTCTCAAGAAAGCCAGCGAGAGAAGAATAAGAAAGAATAAAACAAAGAAAAAAGAAAAATGATAACAATAAGGAAAAAAAGTCGACTGCCTCCAAACGCACCTTCCTTGCACCTTACTCCCTGTACTGTGAATCTTGCCCCGACAGCAAGCACAACTGCGCTCCCATAGAGATCAATAGTAAGGGAACAATGGGAGCCACTGAGAGGTCTTTAGTCCAAGGACCCCCACAGTATCCGAATAAATGGAACTTGGCAAAATGAACCCAGGACAATAGGGAAGGGGTTCCGGGGGGAGCTCGCCTTGATAGGGGACGTCCCGACTGATCCTGAGGCGAGGGGAGGGCGAAGGAAATTGAAGATGACCAGCCGGCGAGAGGGACGTGGGCGTAAAAGGGGGTCATCAGGAATTCCATCGGAAACTTGGCAAATTCATAAAAACAACAATAACCTTAAGAAAGAGAGAGAGAAAAAATTAGCGAAAGCAAAAAAGACGAGAAACGCGACGAAAATAGCCCAGAGCACGTCGGGAGGAGGACACCCAGCAGGCGGTCGAACGCAACCCACCAGGATCTCCATAAAGATACCCCCTCCCTCCCATACCAGCGTATCTGTATCACCTGGTTTACGATACCATAAAGCCTCGGGGGAAATGGTACCATCTCTGACGAGGCACCAGATTTAGGGCCGTCTAATTATTGGAGGTGAGATCCGCCTATCTCGAAGGCTGAGGAGGCGCGGCGACCAGCGCCTTATTTACGGCCTTCTTATCGTCGCCGGAAAGATGGATATGTAAGTCCACTGGAGATAAAACCTTAAGAACCTTTTAACCTTCTCCCTTTCCCTTCTCTTTATTGTCTCTACCCTTCTTCCTCTTCCTCCTTTCACTCTTTCTCCTCTTCTTTCTCATTCCCTCTCCTTTTCACCTCCCCTTTCTCTTCCTCATTTCCCTCCCCCCTCTCTCTCTCCATACCCCCTTTCCCTTCACATCCTCTAGAATTCCTTCCGCTCCTCCTTTCCCCTTTCCTTAATCCATTCCTCCTTTTCCTTCTCTGTATTCAAGCCTCTCCTCTTTCCCCCTCCCCCCCATTTCCTTATCAAACCACACCCCCTTTTTAGCCTATGTCAGAAGGGCGTGGCACTTGAGGCACTGTGACAGGAAGGCCTCAGGCAGAGAGGTCACCGGACATGAGGGTGAGGAAGCACTCGAGTCGACCCATGAAACACGGTATTATGAGGAAGTGAGACGCAAGGAGGAAAGTCGAGAACCGGACGGGAGAGGAGAGAAAGATAAGATAAAAGTGTGGATGGGATAGAGGATGAGAGAAAGAGAAAAAAAGTCGGGGAGGAAGGGAGACCGTGTGAGTGGGGAAAGACAAAAATAGATACAGTGAGAAAGAGAAAGAGAGAGAGAGAGAGAGAGAGAGAGAGAGAGAGAGAGAGAGAGAGAGAGAAGAGAGAGAAAAAGAGAGGGAAGATAGATAGATTGACAGATAGACAGAGAGGGAGGGAGGGAGAACAAACAAACAATAAATGGAGCAACGAAACGAAATCAAAGAAGAGGAAAAGGGAGAGCATAGAATTAAAAAAAGGAAAAGGGAAAAGATGGAACGCGAGAGGAGAAAGAAAGGGAGGGAAAGGGGAGGAAGATAATAGGAGGAGACGAAGAAGACGAATATCCATTAACAGGAATGAAGGCTAAATGGATATGGGCCGGGAGGGGGGGAGGAGGGGGGCGAGGGGAGGAGGAGGGGGGGGGAAGGGGTGGCCGTTTGCTATATTTTCGTGCGTGAGTTTGTGTGTTTTTTTCTTTGTTTGCGCATGTATGTATGTGTGTGTTTTTCTTTCTTTCTTTGTGTATGTAAGTATGTCCGTATGTATGTTTGTGTATGTGTGAGTGCATGTGTGTTTGTGTGCATGTGCGTATGGTTATATGTGTTTCCATGTAAGCAATACTCAATCAAGTAAGCTACTCTACATACATTTCGATACATACTCGTAAATTGGCTCAGAAGGTGAGGCCTCAACGCAAGCACTATCTACACACCTCCTGAGGCTGTCGCGTCTATTGCTCAGAAAAGAACTAACTACATCGATATTCAGGAAGCAGAAAACGAGGAAAAAATGGAAAAAAAAACGCAAAATAAAAAATGAAAAAAAATCACAAAATTAAAAAAAACATGAAAAAAAATCACAAAATTAGTAAACATGTAAAAAACACAAACAAAATTAATAAACATGAAAACAAAAAAATCACAACATTAACAAACATGAAAAAAAAAACAAAATTAATAAACATGAAAACAAAAAGAAATCTACCAAAATGACAACATTGCCGAAGTGAATGCACGTGCACAAGTTAAGATGAATTAATTACTCAAGATTACACTAATGATTAATTGAAAAAAATAACATTATTAGAATAATAATAATGAAACAATAAATATCAAATACAAAAGCTTCAATATTTGCTACTGAATTACAACATCAGATGAAGTTGTTTGTGTAAATCGAAAGAAATTTTTAGATCACATAGAAGCTTACTAGAAAATTAGGATGGAAATATATATCAAATATCAACAAATCAATTTAAAAACTTAGAAACTAGATATCACAAAACATGTACGTCCTGATGAATTAACTACAATAATTGAATAATTTTACACAATTTAGATTAAAGAACATGTAAAATTGTTACTAGAATACAAAATAAGTACCATACAGCATACAGAAAAAAAGCGAAATGAAGAAAAAAAGTACATAAACTTATATAAACAGTAAAAAAATATAAAAAATAAATAATAATGAAAAATAAAAAAAGAGAAAATAAAAAAATGAAACAAACAAAATAAAACAAAATAAAAATGAAATAGAATAAAAAAGAAATAAAGATTCAATTTAATCTGAAATGCAAAATAAAAGTAAAACACAAAATACATCCCACCATTAATTTTCCATAATTAAAGCTCAGTTCTTAAGAAAAGAATAAAAAGAAAAAGAAAAGAGAGATAGAGAAAAGAGAAAAAAGGCTCTCAACCCAAAACTGAAATGGCAAAAGCTTTGATAGAACTGAAAATACGAAATAAATACAGATACAGAAATAGATATATATATAACTACATACAACTACAATACGAATGAGACTAAAATACAAAGCAAATACATCTACACAAGCTATCTACCTCAAGAAACTGAAGAAGAGAAAGGAGAGTTGTAATAATAGATATATCTTATACAAATCTCAAGCTTAATTCACGAAATGTAGCATAAAAAGGGCCAGGATTCTTACCTCATTCATGCCCATAGGATCAACCACCTGCACGGTGTTGTCGGGAGGAACTTTCCAGTCATTCTGCTCCATGCTGTTGGCCATCATTTT